ACTCTTGGTGTGGTGTCCATAAGCACGGCATCTGTAACTGATTGAGCTGATGGAACACATCTTGCCTTCTTTGGTGGTCGGTAATATCGGTAGCTTTCAAAAATTGGTTATCCGGGGTAATAATATATCTATGAACTCTTTCAGCGCTCTGACCACACTTTGGTGTGGAGTTTATCGCAGTATAAGGATCCATATCATTGTCATTAGTAGCAGTAGTGGTGGTACTCTGAAGTGTTTTCCCAGATGGGGTTTCCTCTTTTGTCACAATTATACTTTTCTGCATCAGCTTCAAATAGAGCCAGGTAATCATGAGACATGTTGTTGGTGTTATATGCCACACGTTTTGGAAGTCAGCAAACTGTTACTCTCTTCATTTCAAAGGTCTGTGATAATGGAATGTTGATTTTTTTCCTTGAAAATGCTTAGAACTGAACTAACAACGTGCCATTCGTCTTTCGCTGGCCTTTCATTTTCGCTTTATCAGGGCTCTCCTTGCCAGGCTCAGCCGTTGCCGCCTTTCTCTTGACGATGGCATAGGGAAGGGAATCTTTTCATAGTGTAGTGTTGCCTCTAATGTGTTTCCCAATTTTTCTCTCAATGAATGTTCCTTCCGACATTGGATAAAACATTTTGATATCTCTATTTTCCCAAAGCTTTTGGAAATTATGACATAAATACTCTGACACAAATACAGGTCAACTCGAAGCTTCCTCAGCTATATTTCTTAAAAATTCGTTTCCAAAGCTAAGCAAAATACTTTTAAGACAATATGTTCTTAATTTTAAATTTCCTAAAGTATGTTACTTAATTACATGTAGTTAAATATATTCTTCCTCTTTATTTATGTTTGTTTGCTTATTTGCCCGCTGATGGGTACAATGTGTGAAGCCCATTTCTGGTGTTCCCCGCCGTGATGTTGCTGGAATATTGCTAAAAGCGGCGTAAACCCAAACTCAGTCAGTCAGTCAGTATTTGCCCGCTGACACTCTTGCTGGTTGAGATTGGATATGAGAAACCATAAAGGGACATGGATGATACCTTCAGCTGAATGACGTTCTGATAGTACTTAATCACTATCTGATCCATAGTTCATAATAACGGCAATATTACAGGGATACGATCTGCTGGTGAGGATCCTGGAATTGAACTCACATCGTATTACACAACATCAATCTGAGAACAAGAGGTGGATATTGAGGACCTTCTTGAGAGGAAGATATCCTTTTCCGGGAAAACCGGACCGATTAGACCTGGTATGTGCCAGCTGATGTAGCAGGTAAGGTATGATTGATGACGTTTTAATTTTAAAAATGCCGGAATTGCATGTTAATAGAAACTACCAAACCCTTTTCAGATATCTCATATTAAGTTGAGTGAATTGTATCATTCTGACCACATTTTTACCTTGTCTTCATAAATCACATGATCGTAGATACCAAGGGCTGGAGCTGGTTGATTGATGCTCGATATACAGTTGAAGTCATCGTTCTTGTTGTACAGTCTGATGAATAATAACGATCAATTTGATGTTTCAGATCCCCTGGAGTTGCTGCTAATCAGAGACAGTCTAAACAATATCACAAGGATACATACAGATTCATCTCTGGAGAGAGCATCTCTCAGCTCTATCTATTAATAACAAAAATATTCAAATGGACGTCTTTTGTTAAAGACATGACATTATGTGATACTTGTTGTGTATATTCGGTGTCGACAACATTTCAGAAATATCACACTGTTTCATCTGATGTGTGAGGAAAGCCCTCGTTACAAGTTTGACTTCAAGAAACTCTTGTACATACTTAAACAAATAGGTAGTCATCACTAAGCACAAATCATATCCTAAAAGAGGATGGTTGGTTGCGTTAAGTGTCATTAATTTTGTTAGCATGTTTCACCTCGAAGTTTATAACTTACCTTTAACATTGTCATTTTTAGGTGTAAGGGCGATTAAGCATCATCTTTGCTCTCCGAAATGAAACGAACATGATAATACATTGACTGCCCTTTTGACTGTCTTCAGTAATATGATAACGTATCAGCTTTACCGACAAATATGTGAACATACGTACTACTTTAAATACTCATAACCAAATTTGATTTGAACTCACCAATATGTTGCTTTAATAATTATGGTAATTAACGAGAAACGAACTTTTTATTCAACAAATATAATTGAATTAAACGAACAAACCATGCACAATGCTAAAATCCTGTCTAAATAATACCTGCTAGTAGTACAGTGAGTAGGGCGATAGGAGGTGGTTTTTACAATGTAATCATCATTAAGTCATTAAGCCAATACTATGCCATGAGGTGAGGTGAAATTGGGGTTAACGTCGTGTTTGAGAATATTTCGCTCATATGACGAGCCATGTGCTTTACACACTTTTTAATGAAAATGGAACTCCTCCGATTCCTTAGTCCATGCTTAAACAAGGATTTTTAAATATTGCCTCTAAGAAAAGTTTTATTGGACACAAATCCGTTGAGTAACCATCACAGCTAATCAAACATTCAAGGTGTACGAAGATGCGATTAGTAGTCACTCGGGTGTTGCAGTAATTGACGATAATAACTGGTGTATAATTATAGTGCCAAAAATCAGCCTAAAGAGACACACACTATAGTACTCATGCTAGGCAGTAGAATGTTGCGTTTCAAGTTTTGCAAAACCTAGAAGGGAGTCAAGGGACGCTACTCGTCACATGGAATTTTGGCGTCAATAGAAGACACGTGCCATATTTGGAAGAATATTATCCTGCAGTTGCACGAACGGTAAACATAATGGTAGTGTACTCCATTCAAACTGCCAAGCTGTGTTGGGTTCTCCCTTGAGTGTACCCTTTCACTTCCATCCTCAAACAGAAGACGTTCAGTAACGCAAAGACGTACATCGTGTTCGTCCATTATAGCCGTGACAGTCCAAGATGGACTGATATACGTCAACAGTATGCTGTCCGAAGCTCATGTTGGGAACCTCAAATGCTGTCCACACCACGCAAGGCGTGACTGACACATGGACACATCGCTGGACGTTGGGTCCTCATGTTGTGCTCCCTTAACGGGCTGCCTACTGTTTTGCCACAAATTGATCTCAACCTAGGAATAGATGGAGCGACTAACGTGTCAGCTTCTTAAATTAGTATTACAGAGTTGATAAAGGAAACAAGAGAGCTCATTCTATGTATTTGGAAACGTTTATTTTTCAATGTTGATAATATTGTGATGTGCAGAAATGTGAACTAGAAAGGTAATATACATGTTGAAGATGAATGTTTATACAAGCTTAATTGATGACGGATGCATGATTACATATAAGATTGAACAATGAAGCCTGATTGATCTACATATACGAAACCAGGGGATGAGCAAGGAATAGTGAGTACAACATCGCAGTGATTGAAATGGGTAGATTGGTTGATCACGGCGAAAATAATGTAGTTATGTATCCATACAATGAACAGTGGATGTCTCATTAAGTAAATGGGGTGTAATAACCTTGATCTCTGTGGATAGTTGGACAGTTTGTTGATGTGGATGGTTTCTGTAGGTTTCCAGATCTAGTATGTTGCAGTATTTGTGGAAGGTACGTTAATGGTCAGTTTTAATACTTCAACCTGTATCTATAGTTCAACATCAATATAACATTATCTAACATTTTATAAACATCACTTATGTGTATGTTATCATTGTGTTTGTAAAAATACATACATTAAAATGTCTGCAAAACCCTTATTATTAATGTACATGTAAAAGAGGTGCTGGGGATTACCAACACGTGAACACTGAATGTAGTCATATATTTAAAAAGAACAGTTTTATAATCAACATACCAGATACCCAAGAATGGGCTACGCTGACGACAATTGTATATTCGCTTTTGGGTGGGATTCACATGTGTTAGAGACAGTGAGTGAGTATGGTTTTACGCCGCTTTTCGCAATATTCCAGGAATATCACGGCGGGGGACACCAGAAATGGGTTTCACATATTGCATCATTTAATATCAGATTATTGTCAGAAGAATCATATACTGGTGCATTTCCAAACCTGTTTCAATCAAGATGGATTGTTTATCTTAATCCAAGTCAGATTATTATGTCAGCCAAAGGAAGATCAAAGTAACTTAGAGTTTACCTAGTATATCAAAATGTATTGCATTGAATACATTACAAAACAAGTGTTTGCCTCTAATATGGCAATGTCCCCCCGCCGCTAAAGAAGAATGGAATATTTTATAACATATTTACTACTTTGTATTTTTTGGTCACATACAAGATGCCTGAAATAACTGGTGTCTGCATAATCACCCAATATAGGTTGTCGACGTAATTGAAGACATTGGGTGCAATGTTTTATGAGATATCGCGTTTACGTAAGTTTGAAAAGTGGTCAAAGTGTCGTGGTGGCCTTGAAGATAAGGTCAAGGTCACCCAAATCAACTGGTGTCTGCGTAATCCCCCCAATGTAAGCTGTCACCAAATTTGAAGATATTGGATACAACAGTGCATGAGATATCACGTTAACAAGAGTTTGAAAAGTTGTCAAAGTGTCGTGGTGACCTTGAAATAAGTAAGGTCAATGTCACTAAAACCGACTGGTGTCTGGGTAATCCCCTAATGTAGGCTGTCACCAAATTTGAAGACATTGGGTACAACGGTTCATGAGATATCGCGTTAACCTGAGTTTGAAAAGTGGTCAACGAGTTGTGGTGACCTTGAAATAAGGTCAAGGACACCCCAACCGACTGGTACCCATTCACAGCTGAGTGGTCTGGGACACATAGTCACAGTACTTTGTCCAGGTTTACTGCACGTTGCTGTACCCGCAACTAGGTGTTTGCACGTATTCATGTGGCCACCATTTGGTCATGTACGAACGGATTCGTGGGTTCTTTTAAGTGCACAGGGTTGTGTACTGTACACAAAGGGTAGTGACAACTACGGAAGAGTCTGCACACAATGTTGACTCCAATGTTTTTACGCGGTGGGCTCGATCACTAGCTATAGTCTGGCGCTTTAGGCAGCTCGCCCACCATGCCCCATGTTAAAATATGGTAGTTACAATGATCTTAGAGCTCTAGTACCCCTGGTATTCTTGACAGTGATTTATTAACACATGTTTATGAAATATTCGGAATCAGTGTACTCTGTTTTCATGATATATTTCTTTTGATGGCACAGTTTTACATATAATGCTATATTTACATTATGCAAACATTTCATTTACCTGGACAAATCCCAGTTATACAGCTGTCTACTGGTTGGTTGCAATAAGACACAAATTGAAAAGCGTAGTAAAAATAATACATTCGAACATTCACGGATGCCCCATTTTGTCCTGAAAGTTTATTAAATCACTGTTGAAAACGGGTGAAAAAGAACTGTGCACCAACCCCACCATCCCTTTTTCAAAAAGCTGTATCCGCCCCTGGGTTTATAGGTCGTTCGATATTAGTCACAATGACTTTATGTACGCCTGCAGATATGTTTGTGCACAGGCCACGCCTTCCTCTGACATGCCCGGTCACAGTAGAACACAAGGTGACAACCCGTGCATTTCTTGCACTCTGCTGATGTCCTGCTACAACTGTCACAAGAATGGACGGACTGCCTTGAGGTTTGGGATGTCAGATCCTGGTCCCTTGAGGAGACATGTTTTCCAAGAAGGGTCTCCATCACCGATGTATATATTTCTGAAACATCGTGGAAAATAAGAATTATACAGTCTTTAAATTTGTTAAAGAAATGGTTCAAGAAATGGTTTCAGTAATTGATCTCACGTTCTGATTATGAGATTTGATAATATTAACTGCGCTGGCAATGATGGACTCACTGCACGTATTTGAACAATTCACTGCCAGTCAAACGAGTCACTAACATTTACTGATGTAAGGCATTTAAAGCATTACGCGCAAACAGGTACAGTCAGGTAATAACAAACTGTAACATACAATATGTGTCTGTGATATGAGTATGACAAAATTTACATTAGTTAAAAGTCGTTTCTAAAGGAAGATAACAACAGTATGGCAGACATACTCGTGATATCCTCTTTTGTAATCCCCGACAGATGCATACTGTATGTCTCATAATCTATGTACGGGTATCTTGCTCTCAAGTATGTTCTCATCATCCATCTCTTGTCTGGTTCCTGGCAGTAGTCTTGGGCTCTCCGATAAGAGTTCAGTTCCAGAATTTGCATCAGCATTGAAAACCCCTGTGCGAATATTTGCTGTATTAGGAATATATATTGCATCTAGAGATGGTCAATATCCTGCATTTGGAATAGTCACTGTGTATTTATTTAACTTGCAAGGTCGCTAAATACAATGTTTATTCCTAATATATGTAGGACATTTACTATCCAAAAACATTCGAGCATGATGACCTCTATAAAACATAACCTCTGTTATTGATTTGCACTTCAATCGAATAGATGTACCACAAACATATCATCACTTTGATAATCCCTTTGTAATGAATTTAGTAGATGATCGCAGTTACCGGAGCCAAATATTTGGAAGACTGTGAATCCAGTTCCACATTCTCCATGAGCAAAGGAAGAAAGCGTGAGATTTCTTCTTGGTTGATTTTGCCTTTCGTTAGGAGTTGCGACATTTTGTCCACATCTATGAAAGTCAAAAACATCGTTGGTTTATTCTCATATATCTTCAGACCCTCCAGATAAAATCTGTTGTCGACTCTGTTAGAAGGATCTGCTTGACTTGGAACTCTGATGGACACGATTGTTGGTACCTGTTGTTAAATGATGACAACTACATATTAATATATAAGTGCGGTGGAATCAAAGTGTGTCAACGCAAACGATATATATACTAACGGAAAAAGGTAACTGTGCATAGCATAAAATTGCATAAAATATAGATTATTTGAAAGGTTATACAAATGACCCTAAATAAACATGTAGCATAGCACTTTGCAAGAAATTTGATGTCATTTATCGAGGGTGGCACGTGCAATTTCTGCACAATGAACTTACTCACTCTTTGAAACCTGAATTTCACACACCTGATATTGAAAATCGAAGAACGGTTGATTATTCTAGCCTCTGAACGTTGTGGAAAACACCTTAATTTCAATCTAAACTGCGCGTAATAAGGAAAATGTTGTTACATTATTTTAAAAAAGCATAACATACAATAATGCACAGTTGTATGTACATGTATAAAGTCCATCATGGTAATAGAAATAGCAAAGACACATTTCATTCCTTATCAATACAAAGCTTTCGTGGTGAAAGTTCAAGTCAAAAGAGGCATTTGTATTCATCAATGCTTCAAATGCGGAAATGTCCTCCACATTGTGTATTTCATAGTTTTCGGCCGTGGGAGCCGTGCCAATTAACACTTATCAGAGGGGTACACAAGGTCCGCAGTCTAGACTACCAGTTGTCCGACTTCCATTTTTGTGGAAGCCACGGTGGCTTAGCTGTCTAGGCGTCTGACTTTGTGTGCTGGCGATTAGGTGCCTGACTCTGAGGGTGTGGGTTCGAATCCCGGATGGGACTCAACCCCAAAAACAGTACTAGAATCTGTACTTTACTAAGAAAGCGTAATCCCAAATATAACATACGTTACACTTGGAATTTACTTCTAGAATAAACATATATGCCTTATAGCAAATGTCCAACAACCCTTTCACTACATACTTTGATGACTAAAGAGATTGATTTCATTCGCATATATGAAATTTCAAATTGTACGTATTTTCTGAAAATAAAATCTTCAACACGGTGTAGTCAGCATCAAATAAGTGTATAGCCCTAACTCTGTACACCATAGGGTCAGGGGAGTGGGAAGGGGGTGGGGGGGCATTATCACAGCCTGCCTGAAATACGTGTTGCTTCCTCAGTTGTATGCAGTAGTGTGGTGAGAGGCATTAATAGACAAAAGGTGATCAACTTGTCACTTCTTTGTCTAGAGGTGTGAGAGGTTCAGCCTTTCTATTAAAATAACATTCCTGCTTCTTCTTTATGTGATGGAGTTTTCTTTTCACATTTTTGCAGATTTTTGGAGTTAACTGTTTCTGATTCAAAGTTAAGAGAGTTCTAGTCCTTCTACCGAACAGTCTCTGCGCCGATGAAGTTCCCATACGTTCAGATGGTGTATTTCTCCAATCAAGTAGAGCAAGATATGTATCTTACTTTGACTCAACTGCTTTCTTCAATAGATTTTTTGCTGTTTTGACAGCAGTTTCGACTTTCCCGTTGGACTGTGGGAACTGCGGTGAGCTGGTAACATGAGTAAAGTTGTAAATGTCAGAAACATTTCTGAAAGCTTTCGATGAGAACGGTGGACCGTTATCTGTCATTAATTCTCCTGGAATTCAATTGCGAGCAAAAGTCTGTTTAAATTTTGAGATAACTTCACTTGCAGTCTTAGCATAAAGTCTGTCGATTTCGAAGAAATCTGAATAATAGTCAACAGATATGAGGTAGTCTCTTCCATCTAGTTCAAAAAGATCTGAACCAACTTTCTGCCATGGGTGAGAAGGAACTGAGTGACTATGAAGTGGTTCAGGGGCTTGTTTTGACCAAACAAGTTACATGTGTCACACTTGCTGATGTATTCAGCAATGTCCTTGTTCATGTTAAGGCCAGTAAACGACTTCTCTGGCTCCCCTCAAAGATCCCTGAATACCAACATGACTAGCATGCACTCTCTCGAGTATGTTGTCTCGGACAGATATTGGAACGACGAGTCTTTCACCCTTGAAAATCAAGTCATTTTGCACAGATAGCTCATCTCTGAATGCAAAATACCTGCGCAAGGATGCTGGTATTTTAGAACTGTCTTCAGGCCAGCCATCCCTGATAATTCTGGCCAACACTTGAAGATCATGATCGTCCTTGGTTGCGGATTGAATCTTCTCAAGAATTGTGGAAGATATAGGTACAAAAACAACCATATTGATGTGTTGTACATCTTTTTCAAGATCAGTCAACTGACAGCTTGGTTAGAAATGCACGGCTAAGTGTATCCGCCATGAACATTTGTGTACCCTTCTTGTACTCCACATGAATGTCGTACCTCTGCCACCTGAGCATCATGCGCTGTAGACGCTTTGGTGTACTAAGGATAGACTTCTTCAAAATAGTCGCAAGTGGCTTATGGTCTGTTTCAATATTAACACTACGGCCATAAACATACATATCAAACTTCTCGAGACCAAACACTATGGTTAATAGCTCCTTTTCAATTTGTGCGTAACTGACTTCTGTCTGTGTCAACGCACGAGAAGCATACGCAATGGGTTGCCCATTCTGCATTAAACAAGCACCTAGACCCTTTTCAGATGTATCACACTGCACAACTGTTTCAAGATCTTTAGAGAAGTACTTGAGCACAGGAGGTGAAGATATGATCTTCTTCACTTCACTCAAAGCTTGTCCATGAATTGCTGGATCCCACCGGAATTCGACATCAGCTTTCAACAGTTCTCGTAACGGAGCTGTAACTTCAGACAACTGAGGGGCAAACTTTTGAACAAAATTAGTCATTCCTAACAGTCTCTGAATTTCTGATTTGTCAACAGGATCTTGCATCTTGATAATTGCCTCCACTTTCGAGGGATCGATTTTCAAACCTTCAGCTGAAATGGTGTGACCCATATAGGACACTTCAGTTTTCCTCAACTTGATTTTGTCCATGTTCAACTTAATCCCTTTCTCTCTACATCTGTCAAGAAGAGATTTCAACTTTCTATCATGGTCATCAAGTGCTTCTTCAAATGTATCACCAACTCCGAAAACCAACATGTCATCATGTATTGCCTTTGTACCTTGTAAACCTTCCAGAGCAGATTCTAGACGTCTCTGAAATTCTTCTGGGGCTGGAGCTATCCCGAACGGCATTCTTTTCCAACGGTACCGACCCCATGGTGTGTCGAAGGTAGTCAACATGCTGCTCTCGTCATCCAAATTGACATGCCAAAACCCATTCTTAGCATCTTGTCAAAATAACCTTTGTTGAAATCCAATCTGTAGGGACAGACACCTGTTCAATAATTCCCATACCCTCAAGTCGCTTAAGTTCAGACTTTAATGGCCCGGGAACCAAGAATTGGCTTCACATCGTCGTTGATGATAACAAAATGCAAGTCTTTCACATCACCATTCTTGGGATTTCGAATTGGAACTCTGCATTTTCCAACAGCTTCTAGTGACGTGCTGTCATACATGGTTAAAGTTGTGTTTGATTGAAGATAACACACATTTCCATTAAACACTCGATCAAACAACTGTTTATGTAAGACATTTAGATTTGCACCACAGTCCAACTGACTTGTCATCAATCTGCTTTCTAGCAAAGAGCTTTTTTGTAAAGTCACTCTCTGTTTCTTGTCTGTTATCACCAACAGTCAAAACATATGCAGCATCAGAATCATCTGAATCATTTTTGTCCGTCTCGACGAGATTAACTCTAGACCTGTTCCCTTTGAATTTTCCAGGTTTTGGTTTGGCCTTTTCTTTACACTTTAAAGCAAAATGGTTTTCTTTCTTGCAGATATTGCAAGTGGCGCCAAAAGTGGGACATTTATTTCTGTCATAGTCATGTGATTGTCCACTGAAGCGACAATGCTTAACAAACTTCTGATTTGACTGCTTAAGAGTTCCTATTATTCAAATCAGAACGTGATTTAGGCCTTCCAGTTTTGTTAGAAATAGCTGAAACCTGTTCACTTTTCATTTCTTGAATCTGAATGTTTGTACTCTCACAAGCTCTGCATATTGAAATACACTTTTCAAGAGTAAGTGCCTTACACTGCAACAATCTCTTTCTAGTAGCACTGTCCAGAATACCAATCACAATTCTGTAACGTACCAGAGAGTCAACTAAAGCACAATAATTGCACGATTTCACTGATGTTCTCAACGCTGCTATGTAGTGATCAAATGTCTCGCCATTTTCCTGATCGCGCTTGTTGAACAAGTATCTCTCGTATGTTTCATTTGTGGCACCTACACAGTAAGTTTCAAACTTTCCTAAAACTGTATTTATATCTTCTTTCGCCTACTCAATAAGCGAAATGAAATCCATCAAGGATGTCCAATGCATCACTGCCTATGGCACTCAACAGTGTAGCTGTCTTGAAATTTGACTCCTCATCAACAAGTCTAGCAGCTATGACATAATTGTCCCAATTTCCCTTAAATCTTCTCCAATTCCGTGCAATATTGCCTTTTAGTTTAGGTTTTGGAGGTAAAGGGTTTGCAGATGGCAAATATTTATGCTGTGCAACTTGTGGTTGTTGCTGTTGCTCACCACCCTCTGCCATGCTCGTGTGTAAATATTTCAAAACGACTGGGCAAGTCTAGGTTGAAGCACGCGTCTGCTACATACAATAAAATGTCTATTTGAAATGTCCATTTGAAACAGCCGAAGTAACATTCATCACTTATTTCTAAATGTCTCTCACTCACACCGATTTTACACATAAGACATGTAAACTTTGGCTTTTAACTTGAACTTTACGAACAAACATCTGCGCGAAAATGGAGGGTCTGAACGCACGCCGCTATTGAATAAGATAATGTCATCGAATTGTTACACTTGTCAACATTATTGGTGTGGTTGATCCGTCTTCTGACTCCATGTTGCGTCCTCAGTTGTATGCAGTAGTGTTGTGAGAGGCATTAATAGACAAAAGGTGTTTAACTTGTCACTTCTTTATTTTGAACTTCCAGAACCAACTCAAAAAGGGAGGTAATCCCGACAAGAGCACAGAAAGCGCACACCGCTACAATACGAAACCCTGAGTTTCACCCAAAACTACACACACACCCACCCCCCACCCCCAGGCTTGTTTCTATGGAAACGCACCTCCTCTGGCCACCTGACTGATACAGTGGGAAATTTAAATCTGGATTTGAAAAAAGGGGAAATATATTTTCAAAATGTATGTTTTGAAGGCTGTCTTCATCCATATATTTTACCGTCAGCCTTCAGAACATACTTGAATACGGCATTGCTTTGCATCGAAAGACAGCTTTGACAAGAGAAGAAGGCCGTACCCCATCTGTGTATAGGTTTGAACACCGGCCTTTACCTGTTGTACCCTTCAGCAAGCAACTTTTGAGCAAGAACAATATGGCGCTTTTTGAAATGTTGAAAAAGTATGTTCGTTTGTACCTCAAACCTTATGTAAAGGTAAACAGCCGGAGTATTGCTCGGATAATGGGACAACTGACTATTTAAATGTTTACGTCTCCCTCTTGTTTTACTGCCGTGTGGAGAGTTTTCTTTGTCACTCTGAATCTGTATAAATATATCTATTATGGAACGGCGTCATTGGTTTCGTTTATGACAAGTTCAAATTTTAAAGGGAAAGAGCTACTTGACTTCATACTTCATATGTTTCTTTGTAGATTTTATCCCTGAGATTCAGAATGCAGAACAAGGATGTGGGACAGTGAGCTTCATGTGCAGGGTTGGGCTGATTTCATTTTTGTCACGGAGGTCTTTCAGCACGGCCTTGTGTTCTTTCTGGAGTCGGTTAGTGGGATCTTTCTTGAGTTCATTGTATGTTGATGTCTTTTTGTTTGTGTTCCTTTTATAAATATAGTTTGTGTGCACTACAACCTCACTAAGAAATAGTTTGTGTTTGTATGCTATTTATCTGTGCTTATGTTGTGTTTTATGTCATTTTGCCTAAGCTTTCAAATTTTCTATACTTACAAACCAACCGTGTATATTTACTTTTTACTTATGCTTGATGACGGTTGATGTAGTTCAGTACAGGCGGGCGGTTGGATTATTTCATTTGCTTATATCCAGCGAGGCACGTTTCACATTTCTCTTATTATCTATATTATATTCTTCTGTTTGTATATACAAACTAAAAACTCCCATCTTCATTTACATTTCAATTTTACTACTATGTTGTGGCGATATGCATATCAATCCTGGCCCTTGCAAGGACGGTAATCTGACGATTGTTCATTTATATGTAAGGAGTCTTAAAGATAAAGTAGATTTACTCACCTCAGAACTCTCTTCATATGGCTAATTTGTGTGACAGAAACCTGGCTGCATAGCGGTATTCCTCAGAGTGATACTTCAGTTCCAAATTTCCATTTGCCTTATCGTATTGACCGCCCAAGCCGGGGAGGGGGTGTAGCTATATATGTTAAAAATAATTTCTACGTTAACGATATGGATCAACTATCAATACCAGGACTAGAAGTAAAATGGATACAAATCATTTGTAAAAACCAAAAATACTTAAATGGAACTATTTATCGGGTAGATAAAAGCAAAGAATAAAAGCCTATTGGGTGTTAATAGATGAATCAATACGCAATGCCACAGTTTACCACATAACGTGTGACTGTGGTGACGCGTTCATCGGCGAAACCTCAAGACCCCTTCCTGTAAGAATCAATGAACATCAAACCTCTGTGAAGAAGAAAGACTCCAAATCCGCCATCTCTGACCACACCCAAGCTCACTCAGACTACAACATCCTTTTTAACAACATCAATGTACTCACCAGTAATTACACCCACTACAAGATCAGAAAACTACTAGAAGCCATTCACATCAAGAGACTCCAACCGGCCATGAACAACCGACCAAGGATATTACATCCCCACTGCCTACAACCAACTCATCACCGAACAATCTTAATCCTATTGTTCTCCTGTCTGTCTTATCACTGGCTTCCTCCGAATAATCCCCCACAGCTTACTCTGTTTGTGTACCAATTGCCTTCTTGTGTAAATATCTTCCAACCTTGTACGTCAACCTCATTAATTGTGCAAACATCAATCACTGTTCAAACTTTGCTATGTATATATAACCTTGCCTTCAGTATTGTACATCACTTGCTTGATAACGGTGTTAGTAGCTACACCGAAACGTCGCTCATATTATATCAAAGAAGTTGTATATCCATAGGAATCTCCTCGCTGTTCGTCTGGCAGGACGTCTAGCACGTATCCCGTGTGCACCCAGATGCCTGCGAATGGTCCTTGGCGATATCATGTTGACACCAGGAACTGTTCGGGCTGTCAGTGTGACTGGTTAGAATCGTAGGCGCAGATGGGTGGTTCGAATCCAACGATCGTTGCGTAGTTACAGACGGACGGCCACTTCCGGAACGGTCTGCAACGTCGGCGTTTTGTTGATAACGTTTCCACAAGTGGTATATGGTGTTCTTGTGCACGTTAAACTACTGTACAACATTGTGCTCTGGGGTTCCGATGTCAAGCATTCCAATGGCTCGCATTTTTCATTTTCAGTTAGCCGTGGCATAGAGAAATGCAAGCATATTCTTCCAGATTTGTTTTTCTCGGACCCGTCGACATCTAAACAATGTTTTGGGTGACAATGATTTGAGGCTTAGAGCCACACTTGTTGAAGGACACGTTTTATGCCTTTTTTATGACTTCTTGAAAGCATGAAAAACGCATGCAAAACAAAAACTACCGACAGGGCCCTTTTGGGTATGGATTAAGTGTATTATAAATGATATTAAAATGCGTTATAAAGAAATTCTCATTTATATGAACTTTTGCCTTTGAGTATATTTTTTTAACTAATATCGCCACTGCAAGGGATTCTTTCTTACATCTCACTGGCCCGGACCTCTACAACGATCTGAACTTCCATGACATGATCGCTTCAGTAACTATTTGTATTAAGTGGGGGATTTAATGAAGAATCTAAAGATGATGTATCAGCCATTCATTTCTTGAATGTGTACTTACGCCAAATGAAAATGGAGCAGTTTTCATCAGGTATGATACTATGGTCTGGAACTGTTGCAATGGTGTTGCAGTCTTCAAATCCGGTACAGGCCCAAGATGCATGCACTGAACATAAGATCTAATTGTGGTCTCTCCAAACTGTGACCGTGGAAAGTCGGGAAGTTTCACAGTGAAACCTGGACTAAGTTTCTTCCAGGGTAAAAGTCGGTTTCCTTGAGTGAAACTGGGATCCTTTTTGAAGTGAGCTTCAATAGTGCCTCTCTTCCTGGATAGTTTGATGTTGCTGGACTTGATGTTGATACCGCATGCAAATCGAAGAGTCTTACTAAAGCCTGTAGACCTGATAGTGTGAAATGGAAACGATCATGTGAAACAGGAATTTTCAGTTTCTCAGACACCCATTGGCTACATTGAAATTTCGAAAAACATAAGTTTTTACCATGCAGGTAGCAAAGGCACTGTAAGTCCCCATGTTCCCTGTTTGATGATCTACCTTCAGTTGTTGGCGATCTATAGCCGGTTTTTATATTGTATTCTCCATATAGTGCTATTAGTTTTAATTTTCCACACTAGTTTTAGATGTAATTGTGATATTCTAGTTGTTTTACTGTCCTGCGTTGACAGGTTTTTATAATATATATCTATTCCATTTCAATGTCACATATGTTATCGTCACGATATGGCTGAAATATTGCCGATGTGACGTTAAATAATAACTCACTCACTAAGTTTTTAATTGAATTTACAATGCAGAAGACACATCTCATCACCGTTTCAGAAAAACACGTTATCAACACTTAACGTTTGCAAAGGGTCTAAGTCACTGACAATTGTCAGATCCAAGTGAAAGCAACTGGTCTTACCCATTACGACTGCTCTTCAGCACCACAAGGTATGGATCTCCTCTGTCCATGTCAGTTGTGAAGATTCCATCTTTCAGGAATTCAGGATCAATTTCAATCCTCACCTGGTAATCATCGATCTCCTCTATTACAGTCTTCACCGACGCGTGAAAAGAAGAAACTTAAAGCATAATGGCAGTTTCCATCGCAAAAGTGTGTCACGGCAACTTTGAATGTCCCCAAGTGAAGAAAAGGAACAAAACCCTTTCCTCATCCATAAGAAAGCAGAGTCGATTGTATAATCGTTCTTAAATGACAATTGTACTCGTACACATGAGTTTCTTAAAACATATACCAACTACACCTTATGCAGAGAAACTTATGAGCCCTTAGCTAAATCAATACACACGCTATCTTAATATGCAATGGGAACAACAACTGGAAATATAGTGACAAAGTTTGACTTACAAACGTGTTTCCTGAAGAAATGTCTGAATCTGCAGGTGCTTCATCTGAAAATACAGAAGTCTATTTTCATGAAAGAATAAGTAGCAATGTAAAAAATAGGAACTGGAACCCACCTCGAAATGTAGTGGACAGTTGACAGTGTGAATATATGCAATTAAAGAGCAATAAGCAGCATGGTCAAATGTCAAAGTAAGACAAGTTACAAAGGATGAACTTGAAATATGGAATTGCTCATGGAACACATTTCATGTATATAAACAAGTAATAACCTCAGGTGCAAAAGCAATAAATATATAAAATTTAGTCCAGATATTCGTGCTTGCCAAAATATCTTTATCAAAACAGGAACCTACGCCGCTGAGTACACACTTGGCGTGTCATCCTTGGTGAGAACACGTATGTGACGTATATACCTCGGTTATGCCGAACTAACATCAGTCGTCCCAAGTTCGTTACAGCCATAGATTAATGTACGTCTCATCAATTATAGACTCATTGAGCTGTACAACATGATATCCAGCTATAGAAATGTTGCAATACACACCGGTGGTGATCTTCCTGAGTCTGTGCATCAGCCTCTCCTTTGATTTACTGTCTATGTTAGTTGTGTTGTAGCCACAAGTATCGCGGACGTCCAGCACTTCAATTCTATTTTTGAGTTGCGCAACACATTTGGACAGGGCATCCCCTCCTGGAACATGACCATAAAGTGAGGTATTAGTCTTTGACGGATCTGTAAAATGATTGATCGCAATCTGTTACTTCGGAAATACAGCTTAAACAAGCATCAGACATATGGATCCCGTTAATCGTCTCGTTGGTTTGCCTAGGACCAATTCTGACCGGGATGTTTACAAGGTATAAACAAGGTCTGTGTAGATTTTAAGGGACTGATTTAATGGTCAGACTAAAATGGTGAGGAGAAAATGTATTAGAAGCGTCGCGATGACAATTAGTAGATGACAGGGAGCATATGACATTTGCCATTTTCAACAAGTTATGACCATGTTAAAAAGACAATTGCTTCCACGCTGTTAGGCATGTAAAGATGCAAAAGTGTACTATGGATTACTGTTGACAGTTAAACGATATTGATTTACAAAACAGTTATAGTTATATACCCTATTAGCACTATTAAGTAATTATAGTAATATTAAGATGTTGTACAGTCTGAAAAATATTTGATGCGTCTTTCGGATAGGTCTTTGTTTAAGAGCTTTATGTAAATATAGATATGAGTATCTTTTCATTCTTTCAATATCATTAACGTACGTAGAAGCAACATGAACAAGTTGCTTTAAATCACGCTGTCTGCAGTGTGATCTTAGAGTTAAGGAAGACGAGCTAAGATGAAAATGTCAATAAGTATTCAATGGAACTTTCATGTAACATGTATATTAAACACAAACAAAGACGATATTTTACACTGGCCATGGTATACCTGCTTGACAACGATACAATAATCTGTATCGAAATGTCGCATCATCCAATTAAAGAAGTCGTTTATCCATAAAATTTGTCCTTATCTGACTCTCCAACTTCTAAAAATGACACTCAAATAGGTTAAGCACTGCCTGTATTTCTGCTGAAATGTAAATGGAAGTAAACAATATTGCTGTACATCTATGTATGAACACTATCTATATTTTTGCTTCTGCCAAATACACATGTAGAATGGCTTCTAATTTAATTTGACAATATAGGTTTGCTCAGAAATAAAACATTTGACAATATAGGTTGCACAGATATCAAACAATTAATAATATAGTTTGCACAAAAATCCAACATGGATGCTCCCACTGTAATGCAGCAGAAAGAACACCTCTCAATTGTTGTGGTTTTTAGACTGGTTTACGTTCATTTTGTGAGCTACATAGAACACACACTGTCATCATTATTTCCATCTATGTAAAACCGGAAACATTTTTAAGCAAGCAAGTAAGGAACACCCTTTTACCATCTGCAGACAATGTCAATATCTCCTGTTCCCTAGATGCCTTCCATCTTAAGGCTAACTTTGATACTCCAACAAATGATCCGTCTTCAAGAATATTCCTGAAATGAATTACCAAAGGTCACACAATCAGTAGAATTTAAATCACTGTATGTAAATGTATCATTCAATAAATATACAGTCCTGACGAGCCGCCCTAACAAATGTCATTCACCGTCAAAAAACCCCACTAACAACTGTGTTATGCAAGATGATTGTCAAAATTAATGGTCAACAGTGACTTATCGACCTTCTTGAAAACCGTCAAAATCAAGAATGACACCAACAGCACGTGTATGGGGCTACTACATTGTGCACGTGCATACCATGCATGGCGTGTAGGGTGGGTGATAAAGAGAAATGGTGGTGCGTTCATAAGTTGTCTGCCTTTGAAAAGTGTATTAACGCTTATATTTCCTATCCAGATTGAAAGTTCAGGTTCGCCTACCTTTTTTCATAGAGTATACAAAAGCCGTGTGCTTACTCGTGACCAAGCGTGAGCTCTTCAGCAAGATGGAGACCAAACAAAGTTGGATACATCAACTGAGGAATATCCAAACACTGACGCAGAAACGATTCCAACCAAAAAGCTGTGCCTTGGTTCCAATGGAAGGTCTCCGTCCTCAGAACCCCATTTGGCCTAAACAAAAGAGGCTCTGAACTATACAAATACATACCATTTGCAACACAAAGAGCAGCAGTTAAATCTTGCATGCGACATAAGTTATAAAGCAAGAACACAAAATCCCCAAACGCTGCTTACTTTTGGAGTCTCTCTTGGCAACGGATCAGTAACGGAATCAGGCCAACTCTATCCGCAATGTTCGATGTGTCGATGAAGTCAAATAGGAGATTGTTTGGGAGGTCTGCTTCACAAACCTCTACTGCATCCCCCAGCCACAGATAGAACTGAAATTATGCGTTGTAATGTTCCATATGTACAATCGTTCGTACGTACTGAAGATAAAGTGATCTTGATATTAAATTTTGAAAAACCGGCGCCTTAATATTGAAACAAAGCAATGTACTATTAAGTCAATAAATGAGCACTGAAACGTTGTACGTGTTGCTCAATTGACCTGCTTACAGTTGTTTCTTCTTTGCTTAATTCTCATTCTTTTGCTGGGTTTGCATGTTGCGATTTAAGGGAATGGAACATTTTGATTCAACCATGCATTATATGAAACTCAGTAACTACTTTCGTCTTGTTTTCTCCCCGTACTATACGTACCCTTGTAGTACATCCGGATTTTATTGTAGCTTGGTAGCTCATCACCCATTTCCTCAATATTTCAAGAAATAAAGTGCACATTGTGGTATCTCCACCATTGTATCTTTAAAAAAGAGGTTCATATTTATTCAAGGTCATGCAAGTATAGATGGTGCTGACCCGTCAATACATTTGCAAAATCATTATATAAATAAGAGCATTAATAAAGCACCATCATATCAGGTCGGGGAGAACCGCAAAACGACCTATAATAGTTAGATCGAGCTATAGTAGGTCAAACGAGCTATATGCCGATAGGTCGATCGAGCTATAATAGCACATACATGGAAGAGGCCCTTTAACAACAACTTTCCGCACCGCGGTCATGGCATTGCTACACACGACTGGAATCGTTTAACCCATATGTAAAGGCACTGGCACCACAAACCCGAGCGTTTGTGATATATGAGCTGCTAAACTACCGACCCATTTGGACATTTACACTTGGGAGACAAAATAACACACCAAAAAAACAGAAAATATACCCCGAAACTTGGAGGCCCACTTCGCGAACGGCTGAACTTGACGATTGCATGACTTCCGGTTTGGAAAGAGCACTCGTTGGGAGTATTTTTGTGGTTACCCACTACCGTTACACGAATAAACAAAAAATACTATGCAAGCCCAGTGGGGGCCACAACGAACGGTCGCGCGAATACTGAATCAGTTGTGTAGTTTGCAATAAAAATTGTCACACGGTGTGTTTGAGTGAATGTGTTGGCATTTGATGAAAGGGGTGTGTGTGTGATTGAAAATATTTGTGGAGTTTAGTTGTTGTTTGGTGTGTGTTCATTGCAAATGTGCATCAATGGTTGTCATTGGTCACAATCCCACAGCCCCATGCAACCATACCCAGGATTGGTTGTCCGTGGTGTGAAGGTGCTATAAAAACATTGCATTGTCCAAACACGTGGTCACTTCTTATTGTCAATGCTGTGTGTGCGGCGAGGTAACTATTCAGAATGTAATTCATGTAATTCATTTAATTCATTGACTGTGCATTCATGCCTTGCCGTCGATACGGTTGACAGATATATATATATATACATACCTGTGTAATACATATCAGAGAACTGGTCCGTCACGACATGGCTGAAATATTGCCGATGTGACGTTAAATATTAACTCACTCACTCATAGCACTGAAAAGGTAAGTGTGTGAGAGAAGGTTAGCGTGTAAATAGGTGCAGAATAGCTGTGATAACAGACAGATTGTAGGCCTTGTGTCGGCCAACAATCTGTAATTGTGCAATAAATTAAAGCCGCACCGTCACCTGTGATACAACAGAAGAACTGTGATACACCCGTGGCCACTAGGTAAGTGCAATTGTGTCCATTGTAGACATTGTGATTAACTGCTAAGTAGCCCGTTTGTACCAACAACTGTTACAAACTGTGATAAAGACAATCTGTGATAAAGCTATACCGTGATAATCGTGTAGTGTGATACACTGTGCTTGTGATAAAGCCATTGTGTGATAAAGCCATTGTGTGATAACGCTATTGTGTGATACATTCATTGATTGACACACCGAGGCAAACAGGACACATCAACATGAGCTGTGGTTGTAACCAACATGACACTTGGTCAACCGACAAACCATTTAAAGTGCTCAAGTTGGCATGGCGTAAAATTAAAAAAGGTACAATCGATGGCCTCATTTCTGCTGGATACTTATCCATGAAGCATCAATATCTGTGTACAGCTTGTGCAGAGACATTTGAACAGCAGTCCACTGCACATACAACTGCCACAGACATTGCTGCAGCAATCAGAAATGGGGTCTATTGCATTGCAGACGTCAAATTGATTGCTGAAGCTATAGGGGAACGCATTACACAAGATGTATTTGACCATAGTCAAAACGTTTGCCAGGAATATCAAGATGCCAACCTGTTGCAAACATATGAGGCATCCCTGTGGCTTCAGCATGTCAATCCAGTGCTGATGGCCTTCCTCACTACGCTGTGCCAAATTGACCTGTCGTTGGGTAACACCAGCAAAAATAATGCTCTGGCCCTAGCTGTGGAACAGCTGTACTATTGTCGAAATGGTAATCTCATTGCCCCGTTATCTTTTGCTAACAATCTAATTGTATATTACATCACAGGTAGCAAAAGTGCATGCAATGCCATTTCGACATCACGACCTGCTGCTTCATATCACAGCATACTGAAATGGGTAGAGAACCAGAGTGAATTGCCTGTCAAAGTGTCTGGTCAAGGTGATATTGTCACTTTCTTTGACAATAACCAAGTCCTGGCACGGAACTGGCGCATCCGCTACGACGCCAAGGCCATGGTCAGCGTCATCACAACACTACTGCACATATTCCCTGGGAATGAGCACTCGTTACAGACTCAGGAACAGTACAATCCGTCTGGCTGGCTCAGATTTGATGTACAACACCTCACAGCCACTGTGCCATCATTTCTGAGCTGTGATCTGTCACTGTTTCGACATTATCGAGCCCATGTCATCAGTCACATGATCGAGTCTGTACTGAGTGAGCAAAAGTGTTCCACTACCGGTTGTCGTGATGACTATGATCAGCACCAACTGCCAGAGTCCACGTCAGCAGGAACGGAGGCATCATACAGAACGTGTTTGATGAGACCTCCACCAAGATCCGGATCATCAGAAGTGACAGCATATCTCACAGGTACTCTCTTGTGGAAGCTGGCAGTCTGATTGCTCCAGATCTTGTTGTTGGTGAGCCAGTCCTGGTGAACCCGTGTGTTCCTATGCTGCCATGCATGTAGTCCTCAAGAGAATCATACAGGACTCTGGGATTGGTGTATCTCGGTCATGGGTTGTAGTTGGTTGCGATGGGTTGCCTTTTAATTTGGCGTCAGAGTTATAACCAATACGTTCGACTGTCCACTGTGTGTGATCGAAGGAGATCTCTGGGTGTGAGGAATTCAAAGGACATGTGCTGAAGGAACACAATCAGACGATTGCAGATGTTGTTGATCACCGGACATATGGCTCTGTTGCTTGTTCCCGGTCCAGGTCACATGGAGATCAACATGACCAAAGCCACGTTCAAACTGCTGTGGCATGTTGTTCTCCAAGAACTTGGTAAGCAGCTTGGTTTCAAATCTGCCAAGGCGCAGGCCAGTTGTCAGAATGCCTCTGACCATCACAAGGCCTGGCAGATGATTGAAGTGCTGTTTTGGGAACAGGAGCTGAGCTCATAGTGCCATATGTCAGGGAATGTCAGCGCTCTGGAATCCGCCCTGATGTTGCTGGTTTCGGGGAGTGGTTGTCCAACAGAACGGACAAGAACTTCGCATTCTGGCCGATGTCAACTTCACATATGTCATGGCCTTGTTCTTGTTCCGTTGTGGCATACGAAGGTAACCACTCTCTTGCACTTCAGTCCTACAGCAGATTTTCAGACTTGTTCTTTGGCCTGAACATGACCCAATACCAAGAGCTGTCCTTCGATACCACCACACCCTGCGTTCCTGCCCTGCCGTCATCCACACCTTCCTCAAGGACAACCTGTCCTACTCCGCCAGTGGAGCAGATGACCGCGGAGAAGGTGCTGACTTCATCCTTGAGGCTAAGAACAGAAGGATCCAGATGTGGATGCCCCTGGTCTACCAACGCCTCACCACTGGCAACGGATCTGTCGAAACCTCGACACACTTGATTCGGTAAGTATTGACGAATGACAAACAAATGTTCTCTATGTTCTATGTTTACTACAGTAAAAGGTATTTTAGACAGTGATTTAAGGTGCCTGCCTGTCACCACGAAGCCGAGGCATCGGAAGTGGGCCCAGTAAGTGCATTGTTCTTCTGTTCACAACCCACCCATGGTCCCTTTTCCTTGTCCCTTCCCCGTCGTCTTTTCAATGCCACACTCGGCGCATCTGTCACAGTCACCTTGCCTGAAGGATGACAGTGCTGTCTGCGTCATCCGTGCCTCGGTGACTGTCACAGTGCGCCGCTGTGGGGAAGGGAAGTCGGGGAGTGGGCTCATGGGTAGTGTCAGTATCTTCTGTCACTTTGTGGGACATCTGAAACATAATGTTGGCAATCATTACATACATTGGCACCAGACACGCTTCATCAATATCTATTGTTCTGAACGGTTGTTGACATTTCTGAACTGACATGTATTACATTGTTAGCACATAGTCAAGTCACGTACAGTGAGGTCATCATATGTGTTTCCGAGTTTGGGCGTGCTGTATTTCCAATTTTGGTGTGATGCCGTCACCATGTGCACATAGCATTCTGTGTTCGTCTTTTTGTACAGTTCGTCTATCTGAAACATAACACAAGATTCTCAATATTTCAGATCCGTGATCACATGTCTGCAGCGGACACCTGGAGCAGTCACCACGTGGACCTCTCGAAGGAGATTCGTCACTGGCGCCACCATTTGCGACAGTCGGCCTACCTCGGGACCCCTATGTCAACACGTCCTCATGTGTCTCTCGGAGCGAAGGCATTGGACCTGCATCTGTCGTCGTTCGCCAAGACTTGCCAGGACAACAAGACGAAGTACGTGGAGGCGACGATGTCTGGTAAACCCTTAAGGTCTCACCATCACCTCCAGCGTGTCTTCGTTCTGGCTGGCGAGCGGGAGGAGGCCAGTGATGTCACCTAAGAAAACCAACAGCCAGCTGTGTGGTTTGATAGAGGACACCATTGGGCGACTCCACGATGCAGGTGCAACGACCTTGCCGGTTCCTGCGACGGAGTACATGAAGGACGTCAGGACTAGTACCAAGGCAGTGCTGCTGACTTTCCTCCAGAGGGCTGGTGATACACTGACAGTTGTGTTGGAGCAGGAGGAATCTCAGGAACGTGCAGGTCAGTGATACTGTTCAATTGTGTTATTGCATGCAATTGCAAATGCTCGGATTCTTACCTTCTTCATGATTGTTCGCTTGCGGACACTGAGACAGCTGGCCCTTGCCTTGGCGTCGGCTATGTATGCCGTTGACACCTTACCGGTGTGATGTTTTTTCACTGTTTTTTTCCCCTTTACATTACCGCCAGGATTGCTGTTCTTCTGTCCGAACTGATACACTTTGGCTTCCTACAAGTATCACCATTCTATAATTAATGTTCTATCTTCCTGATGCTGATGTCCTTATGGGTTACATATCATGTGCTGTTTATTTCAGATGCTGCACCCGGGCACTGATGCTGCACCCAGGCACTGGTGCTGCACCCAGACAGACAGCTGTTCATTGTTTGCCAGGCCGTCCATATTTCCAATTGTACAGCATGCTCAATTGTATATACGGAGCAACTTGTAGATACATGTTATGGGCGTTGTCGCAGCGATGTCATTGTTGCATACGTTGTGGTGACTTATTTGTGTACATAATTCATTCTTTTATGATTAGTAGTTTAAATTCGCAACTGTTATTGTTAGTGGCTGTATCTTCGAAGGGGTTGAGGTACTGTAAAATTATTGTCCTCCTGAGAGGTATGTAAGTCCCAAAACAATCATAGTACATTTAAACGTACTACTATTTTAACCGCAGCATATGTGTTCTTTTTAATCACTGGCTAGCTTGTCCACAATTGCTAACATCTCAGGGATGGTGTAATCCAGCTAGGGTTCATGCAGGAAGCAAATGTACTGTAAGTCCCCTTGGGCCCTGGTATGGTGATCTACCTTAAGTTGTTGGCGATCTATAGCCTGTTTTTATCATGTACTGTCCCTATGCTTCACATATTTGCGATGTGAATACCATTGATAACTGTGATATTCAATTTGTTTTCATGTCCTTTGTTGACACGTTTTGCAGTGTATTCGACAATTCATCGCACTGTACCACGTATTCACCTTATGGGTGCCGTATTGACAATTTGACTTTTCAGTCACTCACTCACTCATCATTCTCAAAGGTATTTGTATGTGTGTCAGGACTTTCTCGTGCATTACTGCACTTGTGTGCATTCTCACTTCTCAGTTCAGTGGGTAAATATGTCCATTGCAGTCTTGTGCATAGCCAGCACCAGTTGTCAACATGTCATTACATCAGCTATCACTCTTCGTCAATCGTTACTCGTCACTATTCTCGCCTTATATGTCATTTCACACGTGCAATGTTTATATGATTTTAGGAATAAATTTTACAATTGTTGGAAATGGGTTGTCCTTGTATCAGTTCAATCTTACCTGTATTTGTTCACCGCTGGTTCCTGGGACTTCCATCGTGTGTGGATCACATGCACGATTTCCCCCGTATTTATGTGCATTCGTGACAATTCGGTTACCAATCCTGGGTATGGTTGCATGAGGCTGTGGGATTGTGACCAATGACAACCATTGATTCACATTTGCAATGAACAAACACCAAACAACTACAAAATCCACAAACATTTTCAATCACACAAACAGTCCGGACATCAAATGCCAACACATTCGCTCAAACACACCGTGTGACAATTTTTATTGCAAACTACACAACTGATTCAGTATTCGCGCGACCGTTCGTTGTGGCCCCCACTGGGCTTGCATAGTATTTTTGTTTATTCGTGTAACGGTAGTGGGTAACCACAAAAATACTCCCAACGAGTGCTCTTTCCAAACCGGAAGTCATGCAATCGTCAAGTTCAGCCGTTCGCGAAGTGGGCCTCCAAGTTTCGGGGTATATTTTCTGTTTTTTGGTGTGTTATTTTGTCTCCCAAGTGTAAATGTCCAAATGGGTCGGTAGTTTAGCAGCTCATATATCACAAACGCTCGGGTTTGTGGTGCCAGTGCCTTTACATATGGGTTAAACGATTCCAGTCGTGTGTAGCAATGCCATGACCGCGGTGCGGAAAGTTGTTGTTAAAGGGCCTCTTCCATGTATGTGCTATTATAGCTCGATCGACCTATCGGCATATAGCTCGTTTGACCTACTATAGCTCGATCTAACTATTATAGGTCGTTTTGCGGTTCTCCCCGACCTGCATATTTCAAGGGACATTTTGAAAATTCTGATCCAAAAAGGCGATCATATACCAGCATACTGAATGCACATGCTTCACACATCACACAATATCTCACAGGGCATATATTCACGCGCTGCGAAAGCGCCAAACACATTTGGGTATAAATTTCACAACTCCCACCATAACTGCAGTATGTGCACTACAGTTTTCTTTACTGATTTAACGAAGACAGTTCTAAAAAAAAAATATTTTTGACGTGGCAAGATATAAACTTTTAGAAAATACACGATGGCAAGCATGAGGCAACAGGTGATGTAAAGGATCGCCCAAGACCTGAAAGACCGAGGAAGAACAATGACGGTGTCCTAATTCGTCCGGCGAGACACAATTCGATGATGAAGTATTACTATCAGAAGGGGTTGCGGGCTGCTCGACTGCGAGAAACGTTATCTGATCAGATGTCCCTTCCTCACAGATAGCCACAGGCCGAGACATCAAGCTCCGAGAAAAGTTAATGAAAGTCGGTATTTTCTACGTTACCGACGGCCGCTGTCACGTACGGAGACGTCGTTACACGTATATCACCAGGAGATGATCCATGCAGCTGAACCATTTGATGGTGGCTCAGTGATGGTATGGGGCTGAGTTTCGTATGACTGCAAGTTGGATCTCATTACAATTCTTGGGACACTCAAGAGGCACAGGATCCTCCTGTTCAAAATCTACAGGAATGAATGTATTCACTCCATAAGGAATGATGAGAAGTCAGTATGCGGAGCAGTTATTATTTGAGCGATTGGTGGCTACACCAGGTCCTGATGTGGTTCATACAGTCAAAACAATCATAACTTGAGAACTGTTTGACAATCAGATTGGTGACCGTATTTTTTGTGGCATTTTTGGTTTTATACATTCCACAAACACAGCAATTACCAAATTTCAATTTCAGTTTTGTTGCTGTTGTAATATTTACCATTTTGATATGCATAATTTAGTTTTCAAAGCATACACATGTAGTGCTTTCGTATATCTCATATATAAAAGTGGGTAGTGCCTGATTAATGCATATCTGTAAATTCACTGATCGTACCTGTCCAGCTGTAGTTCCACGTCATAGCACATAAAAGGACAGCTGTTGTCCTCTACTTTCCACTCATCACTTCCTGGTCTGAAAAATGTTACGTTGCCATGGAATATATCCAGTATTCTTTCAGAGGTCATTGCTGTTGAACAAGCACTGGAAACGCCACTTGTGATGTATTCATGAACTTCTTGTTGGTATCTAGAACAATTGTGAAAAGTTTGTAATTACAGTTCATCGGAACATATTTCGACGTTATCTACAGCAGGGGAACACTTTTGGAGAACAGAACTCTCGATGATAATGGCAACAACACCTTATATGAAGCACAGCTACTTTTTCTGGCGCCCTTGAAGAGCAACCTCCTCGTGGTGGGTGCTGGGTAACGCTAATAGCTCTTCAACTCCCGTGTGGACCCGGGGAAATAGAGGTCCAGAGCACTCCGTTGCTGGTCATAAGAACGAATTGGGCAACCTGTTTGCCGTGGGTTGCGCCCCTGTGTCGGTGGAGGACGGGAGTCTGATGGCTGAGGGCACTGGTTCCAGGAATAGTGTTCCTAGGCCCAACACACCACTTTGGCCCTTACTTCACCTAGACGGGTGGTAAAATGGACTCGGTTCTATCAATCGGCTGGTCACGTCAAGCCCTGTGCATGGTAAGTATTTTGCACAACTTTGTTTTTCTGATATGTATAGATATTGTTTTTGCCAACAAATGATTATTGGAAACACAAAAGTGTATATTTGTTAACTTGCCTAGAGTCCTATGCCAGAAGGCGGTGGCTCATGGGCCAATCCGGTAGGACATATCTTTTCAAGATTTTCCTGCTTGAGTATACCTCCTGGTATCCCTGGTGTCGTCCGTTGGAGACCCACAGGTATGAAACACCGTCCCTGTTGATACTCCATGGTGGGTGTGTAGCTAGGAGGATGAATCATATATATTTAAACCATGGCACCTCCACTGAAAACGTTCACACGAATCTGACGATTCGTTGTCTTCAGAGGATTAAGCTCAAGCCACTATCACCAACCCTGAAAACTGGCCTCGTTTTGTCGTTATGTGTGCACCTGATGGTGTCTCTATTAAGTTGAATCCCTTTGCTGTTGCAAAGGGCATTGCAGGTTTAGCCGGAGAGGTGAAGGGAATCAAAAGTTGCGATCTGGTTCCCTGCAAACTGAATGCAGGAAACAAATCCAATCAAAATTTCTTCTAAAAACCAAATCATTAGCTAATGTTCCTGTGGAGGTGTCCCCTCACAGAACATTGAATTGCAGCAACGGCATTGTCCGTGATATTGGACGTTGCATTTCAGACATGAACTAAATTGAACTAAATTGATATTGTGACTGAGTAACACTCTCAAGAAGTGACTCAAGTCAAACGACCTTCAAAACCAACACCTATCTCTTCACGTTTTGTCTGCCACAATCACTGAAAGCAGGATATTGTAACTTAAGGGTGGATACGTATATCTCCAATCCTTTAAGGTGTTATACTTGCCAAAAGTATGGCCATGGATCCAAATCATTCAACAATCCACCTGCATGTCAACTATGTGCTGGAACATGTGAGGACATCAATGTTTGTGATAAAAATCCTGTCTGCGTCAACTGCTATGGTTGCCATCCCTCATCCTCCAAGGAATGTCCTTCCTGGAAGTTGCAGTTAAATATTTCGCGAGTAAGCATGAGCGAAACATACCATTCTCAGAAGTAAACAAATTGTTCTTGCACAAGAACAATCAGGCCCGACATATGCTAATACTGTTTCTGCTTCTATTCATGCCTTTAAATCAACACATGTTTCACGTGCTTTAGTAGGTTGCCAAACCGACTATACATGACCTAGGACTTCTGCTCCTGCCTTGGTATCTGCTGAAATTCAAGCAAGTCCTCCAAAGGTGACTTCCAGTGCTCAAACCACGTATTCACAAACTATTCAGTCAAAGACATCTTCTGAGAAAAATACATCTGCATCTCATAAGCAACCATCAGACACAAATGTGACAGTAACTGTGTGAAAACTAAATCTAAACCGAACAATGAAAACAAAAAGAAACAAAGTAACAGAGCCCCAAAGGAATCGAATAACCAGGTCCAACTTTTGGATCTCTTGAGGGCATGGATGTGTCCAACCATAGCCATGGTAGGGCACATAGCTTGCCGCCCTGAAGGAAGGTGAGGGGTAGATCTCCTGTCCATAGCCCAGTAACACTCACAACAAATATGCAAGCAGCTGCTGTGCGAACATGGCTCAAAGAATTAAAGGCAAAGGTTCAAAATCAACTGTTCACCATCTTAAAGATGGTGATAATATAATAACTGAGAAATGTAAAATTACAAATAACATTGGCAAAACTCTTGCCAAAACTTCATCGTCAAATTATGTCCCTGAGTTTCAGAGATATCAAAACAACAGGAAGAGACAAAAATTCATTTTGAATCAAACAATGGTGAAGAATATAATGAGGTGTTTTCAATACATCAGCTATATAAAGCTCTTGAGCAAGCTTATGACTCAGCAGCTGATGATGACAATATCCAGTATCAGCTACTAAAACACTTGCCTGAACCATGTCTAGTGAGAAATATGGACGTCTGGTAATTTTCCTCCTTCATGGCGCAATGCAGTTGTAGTCCCTATTCCAAAAACCTGGTCGGGATCATACAGATATATCGAATTACAGAGCCATATCTCTAACCTGCTGTTTCTGTAAAACCATGGAACGAATGGTGAATAATGGATTAATTTGGCATCTTGAAACCAATAACCTTATATCAAACATTCAATGTGGTTTCAGGAAAAGTCGCAGTACCACTGATCATTTGGTACGTTTAGAATGCTTTGTTAAAAATGCTAAAGTAAATAAACAACATTCAGTATCGATATTCTTTGATCTCGAGACAGTATACGATACCACCTGGAAGCATGGCATTTTAAAGGATTTACATGATTTTGGTTTAGGGAGTCGTTTACCTCATTCTATATCACAGTTTTTAACAGACAAGCAACTTCAAGTCCGAGTGGGTTCAACCCTGTCTGACAATTATAATCAGGATCAGGGTGTCCCACAAGGTAGTATTATGTCTGTCACTATATTTAGTATCAAGATCAACAGTTTATCCAAGGTTTTAAACGATTCAATCGAATGATTGTGGATGATTTTAATATTTCTTGTCGCAGTAAAAATATGCATACTATTGAACGGCAACTGCAGTTGTTTTTAAATAAACTAAATAAATGGTGTCTTGAAAATGGTTTTCAATTTTCTAAGTCGAACACTAATTGTATACTCTTCTGTAGAAAATACAAACCACATAAAGAACTGTTTATAATGGCACTCCCATCAAAGTTGTCAAGGAGGCCAAGTTCTTGGGTCTAATTTTCGACTCCCATTTAACTTTTCTTCCGCATATCAAATCCCTAATAACTAAATGCCTGAAGGCATTCGATTTATTAAAAGTCGTTTCTAATTCAAAATGGGAAGGGGAACAAGTTAACCCCCTACACCTATATAGAACACTATATTCTAACGAATCTAACCCTGCATTTAATTTAGGATTATATACCAAGAAAACTTCTTTTGTTCAGCCTATTCGGCTCAGAATTAAACCATTCATTTCTGCTGCCGGCGTTGAGCTGGAGAATATATCTCCTTTCCGTCTTCTTTCTTCTCCTCCTTGGAAATTGGTTAGGCCACACATTGACCTAACATTAACCACATTTAAAAACTCAGAAACTAATGAATTTCAGTATAAACAAGAATGTAGTCAATTAAGAAATAAATATAATACATATAAATCCTTATTTACAGATAGATCCAAGGATGCTGGCGCAGTAGCTTTTGCCACTGTCATTGGATCCTGAAAACTATCCTCTCGATTGCCTGGTAACAGCTCTATTTTCACAGCAAAAGTTAACGCCATATTAACAACCTTAAAATATATTAATAAACACCCTAGATATAAAAAATCTATCATCTTTTCAGACTCTCTTTCGTGCCTTCAGGCTATTAAAAATCTTTCTTGCAAACACCCACTTTTAATTGGAATTATAGAATTATATAATGATCTTGCTACTAGACAATACGACACCGTCCTCTGTTGGTTACCCAGCCACGTTGGAATTTCTGGTACCACAATGGCCGATCTTGCTGCCAAGGCAGCACTCAACAAATCTGTAACACCACTCCTTATTCCATACACTGAATATAAAGCTACCATTAGATCTTATATCCTTGATCTAATACAGAAGAAGTAGGACACCCAAGGAGGTATAAATAAATTACATGCAATAAAACCTTGTATTGGTTATACCTACTTGGGTTGTCAGTCAAGGTTTGAAGAGGTCATCATGCGACGTTATCGTATTGGCCACACAAAATATACCCATGAATGACAATTGAAAGGTGGGGATCCTCCGTTATGTATCCCTTGTGATGAAAGATTCACGATCAAGCAGGTCATGCTTGACTGTGTTGAATATTCCATCACAAGGGATAACTATTTTAAATGACGAACTATGAAGGATATTTTTAATAATATCAGTTCTCATTTAGTTATTGCATTTTTAAAAGAAATAGATTTGTTAAATGATTTGTAAATAGATAAATATTTTATGATTGCAAGTTTAAATCAGTAACTCGGGAGGGTGGGGGGTGAGGGTGAGGGTGTGTGGTTAAAGTACTGTAAAATTATTGCCCTCCTGAGAGGATACGTAAGTCCCAAAACAATCAAAGTACATTCAAACTCTCCACTTTTTTAATCATAGAATATGTGTATTAAGGGATGATGTAAAATGTACTGTAAGTCCCCATGGTCCCTAGTATGGTGATCAACCTTCAGTTGTTGGCAATCTATAGCCTGTTTTTATATTGTATTGTCATTTATAGTTAAAATATTTTAGATTTAGTTACTAGTTTTAGATTTATTCCTGTGATAATCTAGTTGTTTTAGTGTCCTTTACAGACTGGTAACTATATTATATAAGTTTGTTTTTATTCATTTATAAATTTACAACTTTCTTAGTCACGATATGGTTGAAATACTGTCGATGTGGCTTTAAATTTAACTCATTTACTCCTTTTTTTCTGCGTAACAAAATATGACTTGGGCATCCTCAGTTGTCACCGGCTCCAACATGCTCGGCTATAGTAGTGGAGAAATTCCAAGACCATGGTCTTAACAGTTTATCACTTGACACGCAATTACATGGGATGATGAACTAAGATCTTAATACTAGAAATACCTTAATTATTATCATCATCCTTTTCTTAGACCTTTGCAAGAACGATGATGACTGATGATTTTGAAACGTTTAATACCTGTCTTTCAAACGTTCTGTGTAATCCGATCGGTTGCTCTGGGCGACGAGCCTTGAGGAAACTCTCTGCACTGATGTTTCAGGAAAGAGATCACCGTACATCGCTTTAAGAAAATTGGTCCGTTTACCGATCGTCTGTCTGCCTGAAATTTCAAATTCCAACCAAGACTGGAGAGCTTGTTTGATTTTCAGTTCTGTCTTTCCATTTCCAAAATAGATACCATTCGTGCCTGATTTGAGATCTGATAATTCTTCCATCACCTCTTTCAGGTTCTGTAGGTGTGCCTTTGATAGTACCACGTCGTACCAAACTGCCCATAGAGTCTTCAGTTCGTCAGTATCTAATGGATTAATGGTTCTAGCAAGGTAGAGTAAGATTAAATCCCGCCCCAAGATTCCGTCTTCGATGTCATTGATGTGAAAGTTTATTGTCTGGTTCTTTGCCTTTGTCGTGCCATCTTCGTGTAGTACGTGCATGGTGTGAAGGACGTGCCTGATGTCGCCACATCCAAGCAGCAAAATGTTACACTCCTCGGCCACCTGGCATCCATGGGTAACATCCATAGATCTCGTGTTTCCAATCGGATAATACTCGTACATGTCATCTTTAAGATATTTGACGGTATCTGAAGTTCCGAACAGAAAACAGACAATTACAGTTATGCATATGCTTTAGATGAGAAAACTTCTCCATGAATACTGCAGCATGTTTCTCCAAATGTATTTACCCTGCAGACACATTACTGCCAACGTTTGTACAATTTACTCTGCTGACGATGCAGCTCTCTGTTCTCTCGAGATTCAGAAACCAGTTATAGAACAGAAATTACCAGTTGTACTAAATGGTGCCACGAATGGTTTTTGCTTTTAAATGTACCCGAAACAAAGAAAATGATAATTGACTTAGGAAAACGTAGATAACTATGTACTATGGAAATTCAGAATAAAGGTGTTAAGATATTTCTTTCTTTGTATACACCTTGGCATTCTCTGTTCAAAATTTACCTTTCCCATCATTATGTCAGTAACTGGGTTGTCCGATCTAGATAATTATTAAGTAAGCGGCATATACGTGACTGTACATAGTGTTATTGCCGTACATATTGTTATTGCTGTAAATGTTGTTATTGTTACACATAGTGTTATTGGCGTACACGATGTTATTGCTGTACAAGGTGTTATTGCTGCATACAGTGTTATTGTCGTACATGGTGTTATTGCTGTACACGGTGTTATTGCTTTATATGGTGTCATTGCGGTATATTGTGTACTTGCCGTACATTGTGCTATTTCTGTACACGGTGTTATTGCTGTATGTGGTGTTTTTACTGCACATGGTGTTATTGTCGTGCATGGTGTTTTTGCTGTACACGCTGTTATTGCTGTACATGGTGTTATTGTTGTACAAGGTGTTATTGCTGTATATGGTGTTATTGCCGTAAATGGTGTTATTGCGGTACATGGTGTTATTGCCGAAAATAGTGTTATTGCCGTACAGGGTGTTATTGCTGTACACGGTGTTATTGCCGTAAATAGTGTTATTTCTGTACATGGTGTTATTGCTGTACATGGTGTTATTCCTGTACACGGTGTAATTGCCGTAAATAGTGTTATTGCCGTACATGGTGTTATTGCTGTACACGGTGTTATTTCCGTAAATAGTGTTATTTCTGTACATGGTGCTTTTTCTGTACATGGTGTTATTGCTGTACATGGTGTTATTGTTGTACGTGGTGCTATTGCTGTACGTGGCGTTATTGCTATACATGGTGTTATTGCATATGCGGTGTTATTGCTGCAAATGGTATTATTGCTGTATATGGTGTAATTGCTGTACACGGTGTTATTGCAGGACATGGTGTTATTGCCGTGCATGGTGCTATTGCTGGTACTTTATGTGGTTATATTGCCGTACAGGGTGTTATTGCCGTACACGGTGTTATTGCTGTGCATGGCGTTATTTAAGAAATACAGTTCGCTCTACCACCATGTATAGTGTAATAAAACACACTTTCGCCCTGAACTATTATAGTTAAAGTACGAGGACGCTTGCTTCCGAGTGCTTTAACGTTATAATAGTTCAGGGCGAAAGTGTGCTTTATTACACTATACATGGTGGTAGAGCGAACTGTATTTCTTTTATAAGATGCCAAATTTAATACTTTCTAAGGATAATTACGATTATTTTCAGGCAGAAAACAAACGACCATGTCGGTGACCTAAATTAAGAATCCTCGCACAGGGCTAACTGGCCCGCTGTTCTATTGATGTGTCAATACAGTACAGTATTCTATGTACAGTAGTATAGGGAATGAGAGTCCTGGATCAGGGTAATCTAAAGCTTCATTTAATAGATAAAGCTTTAGTCGGACCCTTACTATTACTATCTACTACCCCTCTACAGAGCTTTATTTCATAAATAAAACTTTAGTCGGGGACCCTTATCTCTTGCTACCATTACCTCTACTATAGTGGGATACGAACTCCACAGGGTATCTTGCCTCTATGTCGTGTTGACGGGAGGTTGCATTGTGTCATACGGTACGATTAATAATTCTTCTTTTACAAACCCTCTGCCTGGCCCATCCATTAAGTAGTACAAGGTAGGTTCGTCGGCTTTCATATCCACTTTATCTATGTTGTAAGTTTTGACTGACCATATTGGGTCAGTAGCTCGTTTCCGAGTATCCCCCTCGTGTTCCCCAGGCTCGTATAAATATCTCACTAGGGCCCTGTCTGGTATCTGTTTCTCCTTCCCACGCAAAGGAGCAGCCGGTTCAGCTATCACTGATTTTAGTTTGATAGCGTCTGCCGGTTTCTTGCCAGTGAGCCGAGTAACTTCATGGTTGATTGCCGTCACCACCTTAGGTAACCTTTTGACCCATTCAGTCGATCGTTTTTCCAGGTTGGTCATTTCTCTCGCATACTGATACCCGAATAAACGTTCAGCCAAAGTCTTATTGAATCTCTCAACTATAGCTTGACTGCGATGAGCCCCGGCAGCACCACGCCTGACCTTTGTATCGTGTTTATCCATCAGGTGTGACACGACACCCATGAATTCCCTCCCTGGGTCAACTTGCAATACAGTAGGCCACGTCAGCGGACTGCGTTTGTATATGCGTTCGAATCCGCGGGCAACCTGGGCCGAGTCTTTCGTGGTCAATGGTTCAGCTTCCTTGTAGCGACTGGCTACGTCGACTACAGTTAAAGCATACTTGTATCTCTTATCGTGGGGTAGGAACAGTAGGTCTGCTTGGTGAACACTATTAGTCATATTAATACCAAACTTCCTTCTAGGTACATAGCGTGGTCGTGGTAAATATATCTGCCAAAGTGCTTGTTTTTCAAGCCATGTTTTGGCCTCCTCCGGGGGGGTACTCGCGCCATTTTAGTCAGCTTATCTACAGCGCTAGCTCCTTTCCAGTACCCACGCGGACTATAGTAAATAGCCTCAAATATTTTTTTTGGTTCCGTGACATGTCGCCCCGACAGGGTATTTATTTATATCTATGTTCTTGGTTCAATTTTCTCATGCCCGTACGCGTACGTGTTTATCCCATCAATAGCTATCCAACGTTTAGTATCCATAGGCGATAGGGACGTCTTGTTTATTGTCAGTCCGTATATCTTATGTCCATCACTTCTAAGTGTGTTCATTTTATGTTTAAAGGTACGGGTTTTGAACAGGGATTCCTTGAATATAGGGTGTTTGATGTGTTGTTTAACAACGTACTTCTTAACACCCTTAGCCTTCCGGATCTCACTATTGTCGGCCTTTAGTATGGAATACATCTTAGGTCTTAAACCGATGTACTCAGCAATGGGCGTGCCGGCACACTCGTCTTTCATCTTGCCGAGGACTTTTTTATTTACCGTGCCGTGTAGGGAATGATCCTTGGGGTAGTCACTGGTGTCGTACAGGTGTATGTGTTTTTTCATGTCATCGTACACGTCCTTAGTGTGTATATTTAGCAACAGGGAATCCGTGTCAGTGTACAGCACTTCACACCTGTCGTCGTACTGTTTCTTCAGCTCGTTGTAGTAAAAGTCATACATCAGGTGTTTGGACAGGTCGAGAATGCTCATCCCCACGTAAACAGGCCGGTTGAATTTTATGTGATTTTTCTTCATGTGTAGGGCAACTAAATCATCGGTGAATATCTTGCTACGGTTAAATGTCGGACTAGCGATCAGCTTCCTTAGCTTGTCTTCCTCATTCGACCGAACCAGCTTTACATCCACCCGTTTTCGCAGGTTCTCCATCGTCTTACCGAATACCGAGTTGTTCATGAGCTTATACAAGTTTTTCTCAAAATCACTGGTGGCCAGCTTTCGCAGGTCTGTGTTCATTCTGATATTAGGCTCCATCCAAGGACTTTGGTTGAATACGAGCACTCTGTGTATTTTGGTCAGTTTCATACCCAACGACAGGTATAGCTGCAGGTTGCGATAGTGTACGATGTACTTGGTCTTATTCATTAAGTTAGGCACGAGTTTTTCAACGCCCGTCACCCGCCTATCTAACAAGTTATGTTGGTATTCAGACATCCAGTCTGGGTTAACCCTCATACGTTCTGGAGCCAGGGGGTAGCTGTTGTGTGATGTGTGTAATGCCTTGGGATACTCCAAGTCAACTTCGAGGATATAACCTTTGTTCGAATCCGGCGTGATGCTCATAATATCGAAATCGGATGATACCCATTCGAATCCCCCTGTGGGTAGATACTGACTCATAGCCCATCCATACAGGTTATTTGCGTCGAGGTAGAGAATGTGATTGGTTGGTTTGCTAGGGTCATAGCCATTCACGTATTGATTATTTGCTTTAGCGTATCGTTTGGTTGCCATGGAGATCCCACCTCGCAAACCTTTCTCAATGAACAGGTGCATGTCATAATCAGTAAGCAATTCCAACTTTTTAAGCAAGGCATCCCACGACAGACCTGGGCTGGTGTAATACCATGCCGGATCTAGTTTATACTGCTTGATACATGTCCGCCTAAATGTCTCAAATAGGTCGGCTAATAGTAGTACATCCATCTTCAAGTACAGATCGTGATAGTCACCCAGGTTTGTACAACCAAGTTTATTCCATACATTAATAGCGTACGAGTAATCGTCTTCGGATATTTCCGAGTCGGTCAGATTGCTGTAAAATTCTCTGATGGGGGGTAGTCTGGTCTCGGTGAACTTAGTCCAACTATCCATGTACTCATAGGGGTACACACCCTTCCTCATAAGCAGGGATCTAGTCTCGGCGTCTGTGTATCGATCGGTGATAGGGAAGGTATCGTTGGCTTTAATCAGGCTTGCTAGTGACGACAATAGAAATTGACACGAGTCAATGAACCTAAGTCCGTCTAAGCTGAAAGAGAGATATTTCTCCATGTTGTTGGGAATGCACGTTATATTACCATCGATTTTCGCGATGGCCTGCATGATCAAGTGTGAGTCGTACCCTCTTAAGTTGTGAAAGACAACGGGGATGTTTATTGTCTTATGGTTGATTCTAAGTTTAAGGTTACACGCGTTGTGAGCGGCGCCTCTATACTTACCGGTTATGTGACAGTGATCTCTCACCGAATCACCGTTCAGTGGTGAGTCACACACGTG